ACGGGTGGTTCACTTCATCAACAAATTGTGCCAGGGTCAATGGTCACGGTTTGGTCAATAGGAACCCTTCAGTGGCTGTCAACCCAACCGGGGAATTGGGCGCGCCGGAGGTGATGCCGATGGTGATGGGCCCCTCCGGCAGGAAGTTCTCGTCCACCTGAGACTGTTTTGGGGGAAAACCTGCAGGACTCCCAGGCAAGTTGCACCTTTTTCGGGAGGCACGGACTTTACTGGTAAGGAATCATACTCCTGAGGTTGATGGGACTACCTGCAAGTCAGGTTGAGCTCATACTCCTGGTGATTCGGTCGGACCTTGTTAAAATACAGTTCGAACCACGTTTGAACAACTTTTTCTTGGTCTCTCTTGAAAGGGAACTAGGCTGTTTGAACAAATGCTGCAACCAACCCTGCAGGACACCAACAGTTTTTCCCAGGAACTCGTCCACCCAGGACCAACTTTGGGTTGGTTTACAGTTGCCTCAAAGCACCAATCGCTCTTTAGAGCAACAACCTGCTTCCGCATGTGGGCAAACTTTGGTCAAGATGTGCAGGCAAAGATTCATATCCGAAAGATCACACATTCTCATTCGAAGAATCACATGGGATGTAAACATAGATGTGATATTGTTCTTTCCATGTTGGCAGGTGTGAGGTTGCCTAGCTCGTAAACATCAGAGGTCAGAAAGCACGACTCAAAATCTGATGCCTTTGCTGTGGCATGGGAGGCATTGCTGCGCACCAACACGACGATCTGTGAGGGAGAACTCCGCTTGGTCCAAATATGTCGAAATAGATCCATGTGCTGAGGGTGTTTTAGGAAACCAAGAAAACCCACCCCTTATGGGGGTTCCAGGTTGGGAGACCCTCACGAACCACAGTCAACATTGAATGTTTCCCAAGAGGACTTTCTTGTGGGAAAATTGAGGAGTCCCCGTCCCTCCCAAATGGACCATAGGCTGGACATGTACGACGTTCGAACCGCCAATGAATGCGCCCTCTCCTCTCGAGCCACTCACATCCCGGCCTTGAGGCCCTCATCCAGCATGGCTTGGGCCGGCGGCGTGGACAGGGGCTTGTGCTGGCAGAGCGATCGACATGGCTGAGAATAGCTGTGCCATCAATCAGAGGGAAGAACTCTCCCGGACACATCTGTTCCTCGTGGCGGGCTAAGGCAGGGGGTACCACTCACAATTCCCCTCTAGCAACTGGTCGAACCTTCAGGCCAACAAGACTTTCCATTTTAGCAGTCATTCCATCTCTCTGCCTACATTGCAATTATTCACTGTCTGAAATCAAAGTACACAGCCCACAAATGGAACCCGAGCCTTTGCCACGCCCTCGGTGAGGAATTCCGCATTTGCTCGTAGTTTCAACGCGTAAAATCGCCAACCCCCCCCCCATGTAGGCTGTTCGAAATGGAGGTTGGCATCCCTCCTTCCTCCTTCGGAAGCCATTACAAATGGGACCGATTTTCCTTCTGCAACCGGAATGTCTTTTGGATTGGCCGCTTTCCAATCATCATGGACAGGAAACTGCTTGAAAGACTACCATCTTGAAAAGGCCCCCGTCCACTTGGCTGTGGCTCCAAAATAAGGCACCCCACAAAAACCTGTGTGGCGCCCTGGGTGCGCAACTTTGAGCCACACATTCCATGATGGAAGGAGGGACCTTAAAGAGCCCCACGCTGGATCCTGCCAGCGGCTCGCTCGTGCCTGGATGCGGTTGGTGGGCTCCCCGCCCGCCACTCCGATCCGGTCCGCGCAGTCGATGTGGAACCTGCAGATTTGCCGCATCCAAGCAGACAACTTGAAAAGGCTCGGATTCCTCGTAGTTGGGTCTGGACAATTTGTGTTGACCCGGTCAATCAGCGAGGATGCCGGTTGGGGGTCCAGAAAGCGTCCTACCTTTACGCAGCCACTGCAGCTGGCAAAGCCATGAGAAATGGAAAACACCAGATCTGAAAGAAACGCGCCAGTTGACCAAGCTGGATCCAATATCACATCAGGATTTGCGGCTGATCCTTTCAGAAAAGAACAAGGACATCAAACACCCACCACCCACCAAAAGGACAAGAAGAGATGCTGTGGGCGATGACCACCACCGCGGGAAAAGTCTGAGAGGCATCGGGAATGCCGCAGAACACATGAGTATTACCGTATATGAACACTTACCGGGCCTCTGCAGAGGTCCCCCACGGAGCCATCCAGGGCCACAGCACAAAATGGATCTTTTGGCAAAACGGGTTTCTCACCAAATTCTGAAATGGTTTGGGTGCACTCGGGATTTCTTGCAAAGAAGAGGCCTTCCTTGGTGATGAGGGAAACCTTCTGCCAATCATTTCAGGTCCTGAAATTTAATGTTGGACAGGGTTCCCTATGTTCCCCCTTTCAACATCACCCCATCAGAAGAAACTCACTTTGAACCAGCTCAGAAAATTGTGATGTTTACACCCACCCTTGTGGAGGGCCACCTTCTGAGCCCCCGGCGCCGGCACTTTCCGCTCCTCTGCAATCTCCAGGAGGTGGGTCTCAGAAACGTCCGCCCATTAATTCGGCCCCAACCCCGTGATGTTTGCACCTGGCTGAACTCACCAGTCACAATCAAAACACCGGTACGGCACCCACCATCGAATCAGAAGGGCGCCAATGTCTGGCTGGGGCTGCCCCCACTTCTCCCACAAATCTTCAACTACCAGGTTTGGGTTCTGGCTCACTCAAAGCGGACCGGAGCCGCTTCCGCATCAACCTTAAGGTTCCCTGGCTGCGGGCGCTGCCTCGGGAAATCCGTGTGGGAGATGAACCACCGTTCCTGTCCCCAAGTGCAGGCGTTTCAGGGGATGTCCATATTTGCGATAGCAATGCCCATTGGAAGGAAGCATGGAGGCTGGCCCTCGACATGGGGAAGGCCAAGACCTGCATGTGAGGCCCATGCCGTGTTGGAGGAGTTGTAACCGCCGAGGACGAGGCACCTCGCGGTGCAAACGAGAACATGAGACCCACCCAGTCTTCCAAGTCTTGTTGGCGGGATTGTGGCGAAGGACACGGGAGCCACGCTTCATGCAGGTGTCCTTTTCGAACTTTCAGGTGACGGGGCAAGCTGTCGTAGGACCACCAGGGCTGCACATGTGCTTCATTGCGAACATTCGGGCCGGGGGCGGCACAGGTCGATCCTGAGTAGCACTGGCAAAAGCGCTCCCACGTGTCCCTCAGCCCTGGAGTTCACTAAACAAAACCTGTTGCTTCTATTTGATTGCTCTTACAGGGTTGGGGTGGGGGTGGGGCTTATTCCAACCAGACCCACCGCCACAATGCCGGTCCGCTGAAGCCCAGTTTCTAGCCACTGGCGCTGCTTACATGTGTACACTTCTGCTCATGTTGCCGGTCACTGCCTTAATGCAGTCATCTCCTCTGGATAAACCCTGAAACTGGTATTCCTTGTTGGCCCTTGGGGATTACCTGCGAAGGCATCGTAGGGTGGATGACTTTGGCAGTCAGGGCAATGAGCAACTGTCAAAATTGTGGGTGCTCAATGCAAGCGAGAGAGATGGCACTTGTCTCATCACCATATCGGTTGACCACATCTTCCCACATGTTTCCCAGGAAAGAGCTTTGCGGTCGCTCACCCCTCTTCACGCAGCTACAAGTGCTTGTGCGTCAGTCTCCGAGTTCCTTGTTCATTCGTTCCAAATAAGTCTTTGTTGGTAAACCAGACCGGTCCGCTAACATGGAACCCACCAAAGGGTAACTTTTGGAGGAGCATGGGCAGGTTTCATGTTAGTGGTATTTTGGGAGACCCTAATGATGATTGCCCTTTGGTGCAAGCTGGAACTCGTTCATCAGAACCCGTTTCAGGTATCCTGAGCATTCGCAAGCATCCTCCACTACCAGTTGCCCGTTTTCCACACAGCCCTCTGCACCAAGGCTCTTCGTGGGGATGTCTTCGGCGACCTCGCCGCCTGAGCAGTGAATTCACATCGGACGGGCGGGCGGGCGGATGGGTGAAGTCATGAAGTCTAATGGTCTGGCTGCTCCCTACAGGCAAATTGTTTTAACAAATGTACTCCTCTCCATCGGATTCCACATTGCCAAACTATGGCAACCCGCTGCAGCTGCCAGCACGCATTTCCTAGCCCAACACGAAGAGCACAGCCGGGACGGCCGGCACCTGGGGATCCCGGCCCCCCTTGGAAGCCGCCTCCATCTTGCGGGACCTTAAAAGGTGCTCCAGGATAGGTCGGTCTCGATTTCCAAAGCCAAACGTTGGGGACAAGTTTGCAAAATAAACATATTCTGTACCGCGTTCGAGCAAAAAACCTGTTTCTTCCATCGAGTAGAACGTGACTGTAAGTTGCATCCTCTGCTCCAACCCAACATTCCTCATCTTGTTTGTGTGTGTGCCAGTGCTGAAACAGCAAGAGAAACCACCGCATAGGCACCACCCCAAGAAGACTCAACTGCAACCGCCTTTTGGTCACAAGCTCATGTATCCACAATTCTTGGATAAAAGTCTATGTACAAATTCTGCGAGTCGTTCCAGCGCTAGCCACAACTTCGGGACTCACTTGAGAGCGACTCATTCTCATCATCGATCAGAATTCATTCTGCCTGCTTTCGGCTCACATATTCGACATTAAGCGTGGCATGCGAACAATGCCTGCGGCTTGAGGTGTGAGTACCTCAAACGTTGAAATTTCTGGTCACCAAGGCGGATGGTTGTCACTCTCAGGCAGTCATGAGCGCTCAGAAAATATCCGCTCAGTCACTTGTCGCGCTTTCGCTTTCCCGCGGCTTCAGCTGCATCTTCACCTGCAGTCGGGCTGCAGGCCAGCAACACTCGCAGAGAACCCCAGCTCCACATTACCCTTGGGTGCCAAGGTGGAATGCAAGGGCCTGATATTCATCCAAGGTGTAATGCTGAGAGCATTGGATTCAGCTCAGGAGAAACAGGGTTCCCTATATTTCTTCAAGCATCACCCCACCTAATCCCCTTTGGACTGACAATCAAAATGTGCGATGTCCAAAACAAGCAACAGAAAATACAGAGAGCCCCAGGACAGTGGGGACGGAAAGGGCGTTCCTCTCTGCTTGCATCCGGAACCCGCTCATGCCTTTGTCGTTGGTCTGCGCATCATGCTGAAGCCTCAGACAGCAATGCGCTGCGTCGCCATTGCCCTTCAACTGCACTTGTCCTCAATGGCAGTACATGAGTACATCCCTCATCTGTCTTGGGACAAATCGCAAGACAAATGGAGAGCACAAGAATATGCTATTCCCCTGGCTGCCTGCAATGCCCCTTTCATTAAGATCCTACTTGCCAAACCCGAAGGAGTTTGCCCGAGAGGTGTCCGACAGGATTCCGGTTTGAGTTCGACACCCTTTCTGCGGGGTTTCCTACATTTCCATTGCCCATTTCCCTTTTCATTTGCAAGGGCAAGGCTGGGCGGCCCGTCTCCTTCGAAGAGCTGGCATCGCCCTTGTCTGCCGACTTCTTCTGCCTGACGCGCTTGCAGCAAGAATACATGGGCGAGGGTTCGCCAGATGGTGGAACCCTGCTTGGGTGACTTCAAAGGGAAACCAGAAGGAAACAACCCAAATGCCTTTTCAACCAATCCCACACACACACAGACCGCACCCGAACCCACCCACCGGCCCACCCACGAACTCACGCACCCACGCACCCACGCACCTACGCACGCACGCACGCACGCAAATGTGAAGCCTTCTGAGGACAGAACTCGATCTCACCATAAGCTGCTACCACAACTGTGCCGCCCTGGGATTCGCGTGACGGACATGGCAAGCGGATCAACCAAGGCACTGTTTCTTCAGCTTCTTCTTCTCCTTTTTCAGCTTCCTTGAATGTCGCACGACAAAACCGCCTATGTTTGGCAAATGAGCATGAACATGCAAAATCAAACAAACCTTCACGGTTTTGGATGGTTCCCACCATGCAAGTGCATGAACCACCTGCCAAGTGGCCTCCCCCATCAACGTCCACGTGCAGCTTCATGCTGAACTCAACAAGCTGGAGCTGCCCCAAAAAAATAAAAATGGCTCCCTTTTCCTTTCTATTCAGCACCCCAAGAGTGGCTCTCCCCCAAACATATGACATCCATCAGTCCAAGACTCTTCTTCTCCTTCTTCGCCTTCTTCTTTGCCTTCCTCGGCTTTGATGCCAAGCTCACCACATCTTGAGAGGTGGCGTGCCTGAAAGAACCCCCGGTTCCCCGTTCGTAAATCCGTCTAGGGACCTCCTGCGTGCCCATCCAAATTCCACATAAACGGTCATCGCATGTCATCGCTCCCTTCCCTTAATTTTGTGATCCATGAGCATCCCCATTGCCTCAAGGCCGCCAGGCCTTTGTTGTCGGCAGGAACGAAAACGAGAACACACGCGTGAGAACCATTGCACGGTGGTACAACATGTCGCATCCAATACCAGAATCACCTTTTGAGGGGTCCACGTCTGTTCAGTACATCACTTTTGGCGATGTCTGATTTGGATTCTCCACTCGCACCTCTCCCAACTTTCCAAGCCGCTTGGACTTGGAGCTGGAGTCCTGGGCATGAACGCCCAGAGTGCTCAGAAGGTCCCAGCTTTGGGGGGCGCGTGACGAGCTGCTACGTGTGAGATGCGAACCATCATAGGTTTGAAGGATCCTCCCAACCTGCTTTGCAAGGGGATGCTCGGCCGGGACATATCCTTTAATGGTCGCCGACTCAACAAGCATATGCCCCCCCATGTTGTCGGCCGGTTTGTTGTAATTATTGCTTCGGTCTGCCTGTTGAACCCTGCCGGCCAAACGACGGAATCCCAAGCCTTGCTCACTTTGGAATGAAAAGCGCTGACAAACGGCTATCACTAGGGAAACATGATTTGCATATATACATCTATTCGTTGATAGAATGGAATTGGACGGGAACTCACGCGTTTGGGGCACCTACTTGCATCCGTCCCACTCCCCTTCTAACTCGGGCCCCCTGTTCAGCCAGAGCCTCCGAGCTGGACGAGCTCTTCAGCTTGGAGAGCTGCCTGCCACGCAGCGCAGGTGCGGCGTGCGCGGGAGGGTCAGACGGTATCCAACAAGAAGCTTTGTTCGCAGGTCGTGGCTCACCTCCGCCCCCCGAGAAGGCCTCTGCATCCAGCTGCCAGAACTCTTGCGGTCGATCTCCTCCAGCCCCAGCGCCAAACCTGGCGCTTAGCTTGGCCAAACCCCTACGGTCCAGAGTCTCCCAAAGTCACAAGGCTTGGAGGGAACAGACGGGCTGCTCCGAACACCGGATAGCATAAGGCTAGAGCTGTCGTCCCTACTGACAAAGGAGAAAGAAAGGAAACCCTTCGCCGATACTCTACCCTTGTGCAGTCATCTTTGGAACGGCTCGGAGCAGAACAACAACGGTGGTTGGGTCTGCAAGTTGTGTTTGTGTCTTTTTCGCCCGGTTGAGGGAACCTCAATCTGTCAAGTTAGCTGGTCCACTAATATGGTGTATGCATGGTGGGCGATCATCCTCATGGGGATTTCTGTTGACCAATCATTTGAGAGGATGTTCCCCATCATCATGTCCCTATTGCCATTTAGGGAATGATTTCCTTTTCAAAGTTGCTTTCTCCTCAGATCTGTCAGCCCGTGTCGACAAGGGCTGTTGTCACTAACGACCCGGCTTCAAAGGCAGCACGTCGGGCATTTGACAGGCTGAGGTGTCTCTTCCCCACCCATCACCGACATACATCTCGGCAAAAAAGCTGCCTTCTACAGCCCCCCCGACTCAAAATGAACAGAAACAAAAAAGCAAACGACCAAAACCAACAAACACATTCGAGTGAGTGAGAAGAGTCAACTTCCTAGTCTGTGGCATTCCGACAATGCATGAAGCCGACAACCAGCTCCGGTCAGAATTCGAAATTGCAGTGGATGAGAAACAATACCAAGCCCGGCACTGCCTGTCGGACTTCGACTCTCATGAATGGCATCACAACAATCTCAGCTGCCGCAGAGGTTCAGCAACTCCCCTCAAAAATCTACAGACAGCTCTACTGGGCTCCCGCAAAGAACGGAACCCGGCCCTCTTTGGGCGCCCAGAGGCAACGGCCTGACGGGCCGTCGAAGTTGCGGAAGGCCATGTACCGGTCGAAAGCCGCCATGAGTCCGGCCGATCGCGGCCAAGGGGCCGCTTTTTGCTTTGCGCAAATGGGGCTACTCTTAGGTTTTGGACTTCCTGAAGTTTCCTTACAAGGGACTGCAGCTTTTCCATGTTCCTGGCACTTGGGATTGAAAAGAGCCAATTGCCTTCCTATTCGTAGTGCTCAATTCCGGATTGGCTTCGATGCCGACGCAGCATGACGGCGTTTCGTGGTGCCATCAAAGTGATCAACTCTTGCCCTTGCCAGCCCAAGAACCTGCGGAACAAGCAACAAGCAAGTGCTGGAAGGCTGAGGCTCAACAAATGATCAGTGTCGCTGCCCATACTTCTTGCACAAAGTCTCGGTGGTCCGTTTGATTCAGGGTGCCCCGCAATTCGGGGTATGCCCAAATGGTTGGTACCCAAAAAAAAAAAATCAGCAAAGTAGTGTCTTTTCAACAAAAAGCATCCTTTCAGAAAACCCTTCTGAAAGGATTCTTAAAGAGACATAATCATGGGCTCCTTGGCAAGATGAGCTGAGTACAATTGATTATAACAGGCCTTTATCTAACCCCCCACGGAACAACCAGGTAGTACTCTCCTGCAGATTAACATAGAACCCAACAACCTATCATGTTTAGGAACGGAACCTCCTATTGCCAAGTCCAAACCCTTTTGTTGGGCTTCCATGCCCATTTACATTTGCAATGCAGTACCTTCCAAAAATTGTCCTGGGGGTTTGGGTACGGCGAAAAACTTGGGAGTCGGCTCGAGCTTCTCCTGTTCCTTGGTGGATAGCAGCGAGATGCCCACCTGCGAGCCAAGCTTCGCGAGACCTCCTCGACAGTTTCGGCGTCAAAACAAAGAAGAACCTCCCCAAATGGATGAAAGGTGCCCTTTTAAAGCCAACCAAAAAAGGATGTCTCAACGGGGAATGTTCATCAGAAATGGGACCTTTGGTGTTGTGTCCCCCAACCATTTTGAGGGTGTTCCCATATATGGTATCCACGGGGCCAGTGTGGCCACCCCTAAATCCCTGTACACCTCGGCCGGCACCCAACACATCTCAACAGTGCGCACGAGGAAAAGGCGCATTGGATCGCAGCACATAAAAACCACTCAAAATGAGAGTCCCCAGTTGGGAGCTCCCTGATTTGGACAACCCGAAGCAAAATCGCATTGTGACATGACGCAACCCATGGTATCAGCATCGCAAGCAGAAGGCGGCGACGGCTCCCGCGCCTGTTCACCCTCCAGCTCGGCATAGAGACTGGACTCGGGAGCCTGCGCGAAGGACGGTCTTGGCTCCACGCGTTGAGCGGGTTGGCAAGAATGTGAAGCAAAAGGGTGAAGCAAGAAATACACAAGCGCGCGCGTTGCCAACCAAACCCCCACCCCCAGAGGCTCCCCTGTGCTTGCGTCAAGCTTGCGTCATGCTTTGATTCAGCTTCCTTGCTGATTGATGCTTGTGCCCAGCTTGGTGCCTGTGTAGAATCTGAGCCTAAAAGCCGTCCCTGAGAAACTCTGTACAGTCAAAGAGTCAAAGGTGTGAAAATTCCAGCGGCTAGCTTTCTGCACTCCTGTTCGACATGAGGACCAAAACATGGGATACCAAACACGGGTAGCAAAACCATTTGCTTCACTGGGTACCAACACATTCGGGATCGCCCCTTCCCCGGCCAGGCAGGCTGAACGTGCCTCGTATTCAGCCCCGAACATCTTGTACATGGCATCCTGGCGCTCCTGGTCGGCCGAAGCAAACTGCGAAAACATGCCATGCTTTTCTTGGCTTCGGTCTGCGACAATTGCAGTGGGTAAGAGCGGCAATGCTGTGGCTCATGTTCTTAACTGGCAGATGTTGGGGGGCCGCTGCCCCAGCACATGTTGCGGCAATGCCCATGCTGCAAAAGGGGAGCCACAAGGGGGGGTTGTCTCCAAATGGAGACAAACTTCAAAGTGTCCCTTTCGTTTCCGAACGACAATCCCATACTGCGCGTCTGAGTTTGCACACATCACGCCCCTCCTGGGTGGCGTCGCAAATGGTGTTGAAGGACATGAAGTGCTCCTGGGCGAAGGTAAATAAGCGGAGCGACCCTTCCCAACAGAAAAGCCACCAGAGGGTCCCCTTTATTGGAAGGGGTGGTCCCTTACGTCTTCTGGCGGATGGTGAAGAATCTACCTCAATTTGTCAAACAAGAAGTGAGAAAAAGGCTGGCCCTTTCTCTGTTTGCGTTCGACCTGGGCCTGTGTTTCAAAGACGACCCAATCAGTCCTGAGGCAGTCACCAACCAGGACCAGACCATGCCACCAAAGGATTCCCCTATGTCCTGCCATGAGCCTCTCATCTTTGCCAGTGTAACGGGGTGGCGTTTGGCGGCGTTGATCTCAAGCTTCTGCGGTCACGCGACGGTAAAGCGTGTAAGAGACACTGGAAAGCACCAGAACGGGTGTGGCTACTCTTGAATGGACCCTTCCTTTTCTTGCTTGAAAGGGAAAACAAAATCATTTTGCGTTCCTCCCACCCACCCACCCCATTTTGGGACAAACCCGTTTAGGTTCTGCCAAAATGACGCCGTTTTAAGATAAAAAGGAACCTGCAGTCGCGCCAACATCCCACACTTTCCGCCAAGCGTCATTGATTTCCTGCGGTCCGAACTTCTTGATGAGCGTCTGCGAGGCATTGCGACTCATGAGCCGCGCAGAAAAGCATGCAACAGACATGGGAAAGTAAGCGACTCCCGTTGTTTCAATACGAAAGATCGTGAGTTCTCCCCCGCCCCCCCCCAATGTCCCTTCCCATGGACCATGCTTTGACCACCAAACTGTGATCTTCCCAATCTAGTTTCGTATGCCAAGACGGGTGCTGCTGTCCCAGTGTGTGTTGCGGTCGTTAAACCCCTTTCCGCCAGCCGTCGTCGTCTATGCTTTAGATTTCTGATAACAACCACAATATGGGTGGGTGTTTGTTTGCCGGTACCCTTGTCGGGGGCAAAAATGAACCTGACAGGAAGACCACCATCTTTGGGGTCCTTGTATTTCGACACATGCCCACATTTGCATTACGTTTCATGGCCCCATCATCCATCAGGGCCGCGCCCTCTCGAACAGCTTGCCGATGAGCTCAGTCTCACCCTGACAATCGCGGTCCCGGCAGATGACACCGAGCTCCGAAGTGCAACAAAGGTTCAAGGATTTCAGAACCCCTTTTCCGGAACTGCGTGGGACGATACTTGGACCGGCAAATGCTCAAACCAGGCAAGCAAGAGCTGACTTTGGCGTTCCGTCCGAGCCTGAAACCGATCTAGCACGCAACGCCTACGCCTGAACCAATGCCTTTCGCCACTTGGCTTTCTTCTCAAAGGTTGAGGCGACAATATCACTTGTCTATGCCGAAATTGGCTTGTTCTCGTTATTCCAGGGGGAACGCCGCTATGCCTTCAACATTCCTGTATGGCAAAAAAGGTACAAGCTGCAGGCAAGTTGCTATATATAACCACGACACAAGCGATGGGGGAAGCCTGGCGTTTCCACGGGCCTGAGATCAATGCCTGAAGTTGGTAGTTGTGCCCACAAATAGGGGAGTCTCCAAGGTGCTGAACAATACTCCCCGATTGGCAGCTTCCTTTTGGTCCGATGGAAAAAGTTAACGTTTCAAATGGCCCAAATTGCAATTGCACTCTGGCAGATGAACAGCGAACCTGAAAAGCCCATTGCTTTTGGCGGAATCTCCTTTTGAGGGATCTTCCACGTGCTGCGGAGTATCTTTCAAGAAGCCCTCTTGAGCTGGAAATGCCTTCAGCATGGTGGTCTGGTTGGCCACCCCGAGTTTGTTCAGATCCACGTCTGGGTCGAAGCCCGGGCTCATGGCCTGGCGAAAAGTCGATGCACGTGGTACTACGGGAGGAGAGGGGGGGGATGCAAAACTTGTCCAATTATGATGAAGGAAAACCAAAGGGAGGTTGTGCAAAACGTGTTTAAACAACCAGCCCCTATGTTTGAGTAGGATAGAGCTACTTCGCAGCAATCTTGCTTTAACAATCACATTGTTTCAAATGCAACATCAAACACTAGTATTCAAAAGGGTCCCCTTTGAAGGGCAAACAAAAAGTGGTTGGAGTAACCTGTGCTTCTATTCCCGAGCTGCCGCTCTCTCCCTGTTTTCCTCCGAGTTGGGCTCGTACTTGTTGAGTTGTTTGCTCCAGTACGTCTCCATGGTCAAAACACACGAATGTGGTTGAATGCTGTCTAAACAAAGGGCTGGCCCAACCGCTGGGTGCAGGCCTGGATTGGTGGTTTGGCTTAGTGAGCTTAGGTTAGGGAAGTGCATTGCCATTCGGCCCAAACAAGAACCAGGGGCCCGAATCCCAAGCCGCAAAAAGGTTCCAACAAAAAAGGCAACGGCACGACAAAAGGGTCGATAGCAGCACAACCCATTGACCAAGAGTTGAACTCACTCCAGGAGCTTGCCCTGCTGACAGCCCTGTTGGCTGTCTAGATACGTGGCTTCGGGATTTCTCAGGGCATGGCCAGGCAAAAACATATGCACCGGCATTCAGAAAATTGGCGGCGGTTGAAGGGTGGGTTAACACCTATGCAAGCTCACGTATGCACAGGGGCTCGCAATGTCCGGGTGTCCTTACTTTAGCCGGTAGTACAGTCGAAATGGCACAAACAGTTTGGCCAAATGTCTACAGAGCAACGTGGCAACTGTCATACGCAGAACACCCAACTTCCGCCTTGCCACGTTTTCAAGGACTAAGGAAGCCGACACACCACCCGAAAGGCTGAGCAAGTCCCTCCCCTGCATTTGCACAGCGACTGCAAACCTATGTCGCGGCCCGGCCCGGAAGAGCCTTCTCAAACTTGGCCATGAACTCCTGGGGTCAGAGTGAGGCTGTGGTCACGAGGCAAACAGGTCCCACAGTAAAAATCACTCACCAACCTTAAATTGGCCAACAATGTGGTGCTTAAACCACCGAAAGTGAAAATACAGGGAACCCTGTCCCACCTCAAACCTTTGTC